CTTGCGCAATGAATAGATTCCAGAGTCCCCTCAAGTAGAAGAAGACATTGGTAAAGGTTCATACCTCTATGGTTTACGGATTCGGAGGCAGGCGCGGATCCAGAAATTTTTCAAAGGGGGGGGGGTTAAAGTATTTTTCAAAAGGGGGGGGGGGTTGAAGGAGAAAACAGCTAAAACGTACGTTGTACACATACATATAGTTAAATAACTCAATAGAATATCGATACAGGGTGGAGTATGGTTTTTGAAAGTGGGACGTTGATCAATCTGGGAAAAAGTACTTGTATACATTACCAGAAAGTTTTTGAAAAAGAAAGGAAAATAAATCTCCGAACCTGAAAATCCTGTTTTGTAAAGGGATGAGGGTTTTATTTTGTTTTTACAACCGAATTTCTTTATATATTACAACATTAGCCTTTTATCTTACATTTTCTATAGTAAAAACACAAAAAAAAATTGGAACGTTCTTATTTCTCTTTCTTTTTTGCAAATCCAAAGGGGGGGGGGGCGTTTCAAACCCCGTAACCCCCCCCCCCTCTGGATCCGCCACTGCGGAGGAGTAGTGATAACAAAACAAAAAACGGCAAGAACTCTGAAAGAGGTCATAGGTCATGCACGTTGGGTTGTTTTTCGAAATAACTTTTAATGTCAATTATCATGAATTAAAAAGTTTTTCGATAAACTTTTCGGTTCAAAAGTCCGTAGGGTTGTTTTCTTATGAAAAATGAGTAAAGAAATTGCTCAGTTCAACAGTTGCAACAGGGACCTATATATTAGTATATAGGTCCCTGGTTGAAAAGAGAAAAAAAATTAGTTATTTGTTAAACTTGTGCAATGTAGATGCATATAACGGCATTTCAAAATAAATCATAATTAAAGAAAATTACTAGTTAGTGAAGGAGTATACTATTTAAACTATTTACGGTATTACGGTTACGTATTTAACTTCAGTGACGATTTTTTTTCCCGGAATGGAATCCGTCTTTGAGTCGCGTTATATTTCGCTCTCGTCTTTTTCCGGTTGTGAACCCACGTTTGCACGGGCTGTGTTGAGCATTGACCATTGTTGGTATTCGTTGAATTTGCATAGAAAGTACTCATCGAGTCAAATCAAGCATTTTGAAGGAGTCACCGAATACTTTTGCAATGAATAAACTCCAGAGTCCACTCAATGAGTCGAAGACTTTGGTGAAGGTTTCATATTTGTACGCTTTACAGTTTTGAAGTAGTAGCGATAACAAAATTTTTCACACAAAGGGCGATAACTTTTAATAGGGTCAATCTTACGGAATACGAATTGAATCTTAAAAATAGTTTTAAGAGTACATATTAATGATGCTAATACAGTTTATATATGTTAAGAGACAAAAAATATATAAAAACAGCTTAATTTCTCAATTTTGGAATGACCTTGACCTTTGACCTTTACATGAATTTTAAGCTCAAAGGTCAATGAATCTTATGCAGTTGGTCTCATGTCTCTACACCTTCTCGTTTTGAAAATTTTTTAATTATTTGTAAAATTCAAAAACTTTCAGGGGCAATAACTCATTGAAGGAGTCACCAAAGACTTTCGCAACGAACAAATTCCAGAATCCTCTCAATGAGTCAAAGACTTTAGTGAAGGTTTCATATTTGTACAGTTTACAATTTTGAAGTAGTAGCGATAACAAGGTTTTTCGCACGAAGGGCGATAACTTTTAATAGGTTCAATCTTACGGAATACAAGTTAAAGCTTGTAAATAGTTTTAAGAGTACATATTAATGATACTAAGACAGTTTGTATATGTTAAGAGACAAAAAAGATATAAAAAAAGATTAATTTCTCAATTTTGGAATGACCTTGACCTTTGACATTTACATGAATTTTAAGTTCAAAGGTCAATGAATCTTATGCAGTTGGTCTCATGTCTCTACACCTTCTCGTTTTGAAAATTTTTAATTATTTGTAAAATTCAAAGACTTTCAGGGGCAATAACTCATTGAAGGAGTCACCGAAGACTTTCGCAATGAATAGATTCCAGAATCCTCTCAATGAGTCGAAGACTTTAGTGAAGGTTTCATATTTGTACGGTTTATGGTTTCGCAGTAGTAGCGATAACAAGGTTTTCCGCACAAAGGGCGATAACTTTTAATAGGGTCAATCTTACGCAATACTAATTGAATCTTTAAAATAGCTTTAAAAGTACATATCAATGATGCTAAGACAGTTTGTGTATGTTAAAAGACAAAAGAGATATAAAAAGAGCTTAATTTCTCAATTTTGGAATGACCTTGACCTTTGACCTTTTCATGAATTTTAAGCTCAAAGCTCAATGAATCTTATGCAGTTAGTCCCATGTCTCTATCACTTCTTCTTTTGAAAATTTTTAATTATTTCTAAAATTCAAAAAGTTTCAGGGGCAATAACTCATTGAAGGAGTCACCGAATACTTTCGCAATGAATAGATTCCAGAATCCTCTCAATGAGTCGAAGACTTTAGTGAAGGTTTCATATTTCTACGGTTTATGGTTTCGAAGGAGTAGCGATAACAAGGTTTTACATAAAAGGGGCAAGAACTCCGTAAGGGGTCATAGGTCATATACGTTGGGTTGTTTTTCGAAATAACTTTTGATGTCGAGTATCATGAACTAAAAAGTTTTTCGATAAGTCTTTCGGATCAAAAGTCCGTAGCGGAAAAATAATAATAATAATAATAACTAGTAGACTTATTGTTCACAGAACAATAAGAGGTCTTTCCACCTTCCACCACGATAACAAGGTTTTCCGCACAAAGGGCGATAACTTTTAATAGGGTCAATCTTACGGAAAAATTAAATTCCATGAAAAAAAACCCAAAACTCTCTTAAAGCATAGAAAAAATAAAAATTATAAAAAAGAAAAGAATGACCTTGACCTTTGACCTTGAAAAAATATTCAAGGTTAAAGGTCAAGGGTCACAATGCAATTGATTCCATGCTTCTACCACTTAAAGTTTTCAAGTTATAAGGTTTAATAGTAAGTACAAAGAAGTTAAAGGGCAATAACTCATATAAGGGGTTATCGGATTCTTTTGCACTTATACAGTGAAGTTAGGCCTAAAGACCCTTAAGACATTATTAAAGGTTTGATGTCTCTACGGTCTACGGTTTCGGAGGAGTAGCGATAACAATGTTTTTAGCACAAGGGGCAATAACTTTTAAAAGGGTTAATGTGAGGGGACAAGAATGAAATCTTTAAAACAGTATTAAGATTACATATTAATGATATATAGACATTAAGTATATGTTGAAAGACAAAAGAGATATAAAAAGAGCTAAATTTCACAGTTTTGGGATGACCTTGACCTTTGACCTTTTCACGAAATTTAAGGTCAAAGGTCAATGAATCTTATGCAGTTGGTCCCATGTAATTTTTAATTAAAAGTAAAATTCAAAAAGTTTCAGGGGCAATAACTCATTGAAGGGGTCAAATGCTTTCGCAATGAATAAATTGAAGAGTCCCCTTAATTAGTCGAAGACATTGGTGAAGGTTTCATACCTCTACGGTTTACGGTTTCAGAGGAGTAGCGATAACAAGGTTTTTCGCACAAGGGGCAATAACTTTTAAAGGGATTAATGTTAGGGGACAAGAATGAAACCTTTGAAATAGTTTTAAGAGTACATATCAATGATGCATAGACATTAAATATATGTAAAATGACAAAGAAGATATGAAAAGAGCTTAATTTCACAGTTTTGGAATGACCTTGACCTTTGACCTTTACATGAATTTGAAGGTCAAAGGTCAATGAATCTTATGCAGTTGGTTCCATGTCTCTACGACTTGTCGTTTTAAAATTTTTTAATTATTTGTAAAATTTAAAAAGTTTCAGGGGCAATAACTCATGGAAGGGGTCTTCGGATCCTTTCGCAATGAATAGATTGAAAGGTCCTCTCAAGTAGTCGAAGACATTAGTGAAGGTTTCATACCTGTTTGGTTTACGGTTTCAGAGGAGTAGCGATAACAAGCTTTTTTGCGAAAGGGGTAATAATTCCGAAAGGGGTCAAAGTTTATTTAAGCAGGTTCAACTGCGAAAATCTTTTACGGAGTACATTCTTATGAAATAAAAATCTTTTCGATAAATCTTGAAACAAAAAATCACACGGCGGAAAAATAATAAAAATAAAAAGGAAAAAAAGAAACAGAAGGAAATCAATAGGTCTTTCCACAGTAGGGTGGAAAGACCTAATAAACAGAAGCATTTCAAGAGGTCTTTCCACAGAAAGGTGGAAAGACCTAATAATACGGAAAAAGAAACCGAACGAAAACAATAAGGTCTTCCGTTGGAAACGGAAGACCTTAATAAAATAAGTAGGTAAATTGTTTAATCGCTAATCCTGATTGACAGCCCCGTAAAGAAAAACCTAACACACGTTCACTTTCTGGGACCGGATTGGGGTTCACCCTCTGGGTCCGCTTCGGGTTCACCATGCCCGGGTTAGCTCTGGGTTTGCTTTCTGTTGGGTTGTGTCTGGTCGGTAATCCTGGTCATTTTTCAATTTTTTTTTGAAAGAAATACAAATTTTATGACGTCATTATACGTAGAAAACCGCAAAAGGTACCTCACGTTAAATTTCCATGCAGTCACCAAAGTTTCAACTAGAAGAATAACATGTTTCAATTCTAATTGGGAAGTTACATGTATATTTTTCATAAATCAACAGAGCAAGTACAAAATCCTAAGTGAACCTTGTTCTTTAATAGGCGTTTTGGAGTGTATTAACTCATATGATATAAAAGAAAATGTGGCTCCCATGGTACACGTTTATTATTACGTTGATGAAGGTGTTTACAAATGTTCCTAATATTGAGCTACAATGGAATCTAATGATTTCTCAAGTAGGTCTCTAAAATGTACATCAAGTACTTATGTTAAGATTATATCATCTGCCTTTAATCGGGGAAACGTTTTCAGCCAAAGTTTGGTTACTTTAACTAAATAGTATATTTTTTATTTCTTTCTATTTGATCTTTTTACCGTTGTGAGATCGAACCATCGACTCTCGAATTCTTCTTCTGACAGTTGTTTCACTTTTAAATGACAAAGGAAATTTCGGTGTTGATGAATTCGTTCAATATCATCTCCTTCGCCTGTATTTTCCAAATTTGGCTCAATATTCCAACCATTCACCGGTGCTTTAACGATTGTGGTATTGCGCAAAAGTTTATAGAGAAGAGAGATGTCGAAATTTTTGGAAGAAACTAATCCATTTTCTAAAGAAATAAACATCAACTTATTGTTAGAATAAGAAGGGCAATTCATTTACAGGGAATAATGTAAACCAAATTTTATTTAAAATGATAAGGTGGGTAATGAAGTGTAATCACATACTTGGGAAAAGTTCTTGCAGCTGGTCATTTCTGCATTTCCAGGAATTGCGTAAACCATCTTTGTACTTAGAAAGATGGCTTGCAAGACAATTTGGTGGAATTAGTCTATCAAATATAAAACGAAGAGCCCCCTTTGCCATGCTTTCACATTCCTTGTAGCGTAGAAGGTTTAGTTCCTCTTTGCAAACTGCATTGACGTCTATAAAGACATTAAATAAAAGCCATGTATAATGTTATCTTTTTATAATGATTTTTCTATAATCTTTTAAAGAAATATTCCTAAGAAAACATGATTTTCAAGAGAAATAAGGTTCTCCCGGATAGGTACTTTTGTTTTTGTTTTTTATTGTTTTGTTTTATTTTGTTTTGTTTGATTTTCTTGTTTATTTCATTAACAATAAGTTATCTTTCCCATCTACATGACTTAGCCTTTTGTATTTGTGAAAAAAATCTGTTCTCCAATTGTAGCTCCCATCTTTAGAAGCTGTTTCTCTTACACAATTTTTTATCTTCGTTTTATCTATTTGTCATTTCTTTTAAAAGTTTTTGAAACCTAAACTTCCAAGCAAATTTAAAAAGAGAAAATATCCTACAGTTAATAACATTTTAAACACTTGATTATTATCATCATAAATACATCTTTTCACTTACCCTCCAAAACATACAGTGAAACCACGTTACTTTCCACATAATTCCTTTGCTGGTGGACCTGGTGGACCTCTACCCTGTATTTTCCTTCGTCAGAAGGCTCTATTTGATTTATTGTCAATCGACCAGTATTTGATAAGCCCTGACAAAAACACTCATCATATTTTGAGCTTCCAGTGTCCAATTTCGAAAAATTATCGTTGACAAATCGAGTCCATGTTAGTTGACCAATGAAGCTGGTGTTGTCACATGTTGCTGTTAGTGTTACATTACCCCCTGGACTTATGAATACTGTTTCAGGGGTCAGTTGTATCTTATCTAAAAACATGTTGGGTTTAGAATGATGTTGTTGTTAAAAATCGCTGAATATTACAAATTTACTGGTGAAACTTTTAAAACAGATAATACATTCCCATTAAGTACTATCTCTGTATATTCTATTAATTTTATACTCTTATACATCTGTAACTAATATATATATAATATTGCAAACCAAAAAAATATTAAATTTATTTGAAGAATTATATAAAATCCTTTTTTTCGTTTTCATAAGATTTGAACTACAAATTAACATATCTTATCTCATTTGTTATTTTAAATCTAAGAGAGGGAAATTGTTGCATATCCGTTTATGTACAACGCTATTTCTTTCCTTGTGCTATGACATACTGTATACGGGGAAATTTTGTCTCCCATTTTATTTTCACCTCATTTGGGCGAATTTAAAACGGGGCGAATTCAAAGAATACAGTATAATTTCTTAAACAAGACTAGGACTGGGCGAATTTAAAACGAGGCAAAAATGTTTGAAACAGTGAAATGGCGAAAATAAGACGGGGAGAAAATAACCCTGTATGCAGTATTCAGGATGACTATGTCCTTAAAATTGTGTATATACATTATATTCAAATCTTCATCCAAATACATTGAGCCTAAACTATTCTATTTATTTCTTGAAGCATTTGTCATTAGAATAAAATATAAATTAAAAGATCCCTAAATATATAATACAGAAACATAACATCAGGAATACCTAGATATGAAGTAAAATGGATACTGAATGTGTACTTAAAGGCGGGATGGCTTCGTCGCAGACAGCGATGTGCTAATTCATGATAACCGTTAATGAATGAATAAGATATATGATATACTTAATTTGATCTGTCATTTTATTATTAGGCCTCGAACACCGAACCCGATTTCGTCGTTATCAATTTTACAGAGTACAGGCCTATATAAATCATTCAAAATTTAGGTAAATATAATTCAATGTTTTATGTGTTTTAATCTACTTTCTAGAATCAATTTTAATATAAAATGGATTATTTGTACTTGTTACTTGGACAGGTCAGTTAAACTGTATTAACCCACACACTCAAAACCTCAACAATGTATATAAAAGTGTGGTATAAGTTATACAATACTGTTTTAACACAATGATACGCAATTTATATGCTGTTTAAAATTATTTCAAGTAAGATATTAAACTTCTACAGTTACATTTCTTTTAGAAATTTTAATCATTTTGAGGCGTCATCACTTTGTTGTGAAGGGTTGCAAAGAGCAAGAGCCATTTTGGGCATTATTAGGACCTGAGAATTTCCAAAACCAAAACCGCTTAGTTTAAGTTTCAGTTGCAAATAAAGTATTTATCGCTAAGAGTGTTGTGACCACATTTCTTTTAACCATGACGTAATTTTCCCTCTAGTAAATGCATTATGACGTCATAAAATGCGTCATTTTCCTCAAATCCTGTAAATTCCTTCAAAAATCGACTAAAGTTGAAGTATTTTTTTTCATATAAAGCATAACCTCTGATCCAAAATATGCTACTACATAATGAAAGATCTGTTTCTGAAGATCAAAAACCACGTTTTATTTTTTTTGGATCGTGGGCTGTGTTCATATTATAATTCTTTGCTGAAGGTAGTCAAATACGAATGTTTTCTGCAAATTTCAAGAACATAGCAATTTCTAGAAATCTGTGAAATTTTATTATAGGAAATAAAAGCACCAAGTGTCTACCTTATTTTATATATGAAATGGGGCAGAGTGTGATAGTTAATTGATTGATATAACTACAGGGCCATATTATGCATTAGATAAACCTAGCCCTTTATACCTGTGCTTGGCAATTACGGTCATTGAACAGTGAGGGATTTTTTTTGTGCCAACACCTATCATAACACATAAATTGGTTTGTATGGTCTCATCGGAAGGACATATCTCTATGT